AGTAACCCCAAACTAAAGCGCACTAACACGGCTCAACCCAACTCACCGTTACTCTTAAATATTACCTAAGTTCATGTTCTTCAAGGTTTAAAATCACCAAGACATGGGTTCCGATCAAAACTTAATTAATTGTGACTTTAAGATAAAACAGAATTTCAAACAAGCCTTCCCAACCTATTCGCTAACTTTGAAAATTACAAAACCCACTCCACGCTATTCAAAAAATTCCAATAACCTCCAAATATGATCTAATATGTCCTAAGTTTCAAACCCAATTGGTGTCACTTGATTTTCTTATCAAAATAATTATCTACAATTTATTATATCCAAACAGGTTGTTTTCTGCAGCACTTTAAAGAAATTGACGGTTCTCTTAATGTACATGAGCAATCGATGCAAGGCAAAAAACGTACGAAACTAGACTCATAACCGGTTCTAATGACACTAATTTGATAATTTTTGGATTTATACCCAAAGAGAACAACACTCCTGAATTTACTATTTCGGGCTGGTTTCCTGGATAGATTTGAATACCTCAATTTATCTGGATTTTGACTCCCAAAAATTATGAAAAAAATTCAGATATGCAATTCAATATGTAATTAATCTACTGTAAAAATTTCATATTAAAATTCATCCGTTTGATATGGTTTCTTGATTTTTAAAGCTTGTGATTCTGTGCAGAATTTTTGTACTAAGAATTACACCATTCTTTATACATGAATTTAACTCCTTAGATTTCTTAACAGTATACATATATACAAAATACATAAATCTATAACCTCTCCATCAATGAACTAAATAATAATAGAGTAAGGATAAAGAACAAAAACAAAGAAAAAAGAAGAAAGATAAAGACCTGCCACACCCAAAAACTACTCCTTGTTTGCAATCTCCTTTTTTTTTTCTTCTTCTTTTCTCTCAAACTCTCTCTCTCTCTCCCCCGTGGCTGCTGTGGCTGCTGTTATAGTGTTGATTAGGAACCTAGGGTTTTTTCTTTTCTTTTCTTTTCTTTTCTTTGTTATACATAACATAAATGACTCTAGATAAAAATGCCCTTTGTTTTATTTTAGTTTATTTTATCTCTCCATTAATTTAAATAAAATACAACTACTATTATATCAAAATATGCTTACTAATTTGACACTTAATTTTATTTTTTTATTTATTTATTTATTTATTAAATAATAAATCTTGCCTTTAAATTGAAGACTTTCACCATAAATTTATTTTAGGTTTTAAAATTAATTACAAGACCCTCCAAATATTTAATTTGCACTTTAGGATTCACCATCAAAATATTTGAGATTGTTATATTATTATTGTTATTATTTAATTATTTACTTAATTTTTATATTTGGGTTCTCACAACACCTATCCGCGCGGGTTTTTGGT